AGTGTAGACATCTTGAAACACTGGTTTCAGTGACTTTAGCGTGCTTGAGCAATGGAAATTAAGGATTTGGTCGTCATTCAGTGACTTTGTAATGACACTGAGTGCAGCACAGAAGGAGTTGTTTCTTTGGATACAGTTTTCTAACGATGTACATGGACTCATTTAAGTTTTTAACTACCTAAAGTAAAAGTACATACGATAAAAATTATTTGTTTGTGCCCGTCTAAAAGGATTTAAGAAGTAGTTTTACATTTTTTAAATATCAGGTCTATGAATATAGGTGTAAAACATGGGCATTGTGATAGAATTTAATTCCATATGAGACTTGTTTATTTAATTTATAACACATAGTGATACAGTATTATTTACTTGATGACGTTTCGAGCATAAATTATTGCTTATATCAATGTAATCACACTACTTCCGACTGTAAAAGTCGAATGTCGAAAGTTGTGTGATTACATTGATATGATTATGAGCAACAAGTCTGATATGGAGTCGGGTCCATGAAGTTGGTTATTAGGTAAAAATCTATGTATTAATGGGTACAAAATGTAGTCAAAGCAGCAAGAAAGACAGCTGCTTTTTGGGTATTGCAGAACTACTTGGGATTGAACGGCAGAGTTTAGGGAGTTAACATAAAGGTTGTAGTTAAGTTTTAGGTTGTGGAATCTAATATTAAATTATAGGCTAGTGTGAATATCTTGTCTATAGTTTTCTCCTTTATGGGAAGTGTGAGCACATGGAAAGCCTCGCAGAACTAACTGATGTCACGAGATGATAATATGAGAAATAACATCCTTGAATCCAGTCGAATTATCAATTATCAGATTGGGCATCAACCTTTAATTCAAAGTTCTGCAGTACTATCACACAGTCACCTCAAATGGGATTGGTCACTCGAAGGTCATTCGGCAGTCGTTCGATGACGATGAAATTTTATTGTTCGGCCATCAACAAGGACCACAAGGCTGGACATTAAGTGCGGGTTGGATAGGAGCACCCATTACATCTGAGAGTTGTTCCAGTTCATTATACCTACCACCAGCAATAAACGAGGTGTTGATGGGACCGTCTATGGATCAACTGTTTTCTCAGATCTGGTCAGAATACTTGAGAAAGCAATTTATTTGACCTACTGTTTCAGCAGCATTCACTTATGCTCCATTGTCAAATAATGCCCGACGTATTGGAGGTTCAGAAGATACTCCAAACAACTGACCTCCGGTTCTTCCTAAGGATGGACATGAGGATACAGTCAGGAAACTAACAATTGTTTGAGAAGGTACTTAAGACTGGTGGTGTCAATCATTCTGGAATGAGGTTGGCACTGTTATAATCTTTCGAGAGAGCCTATGCAAAATTCGTAGCAAACTGAGTTATCAGTCTCATTCGAGTTTCGTAAAAATGCCAACTACCATCACACTTCATTAGCTGTATGGAATAAAAGTTTTTCGATTTGAAACGTGTAGGTTGGCTTTCTTATTTCTAGATCCAATAATAACGTAATAACTTCTACATGCGGTCATCATTATCACGTGTTGTGAGTTAGTCATCATTGTTTCTTCATCTGATCGCTGTCTTTTGTTTATTGGACTGGATTTTATTCTGTTAGCGTGGAGGTGTTCCCGGGAAGCTTGTTAACATGTTGGACACCCATATGGGGGCATCTCAATTATATTGGAGGCGTACAAGCATCTCTCCATTATTCCAGATCAAAAGTAGGATTGTCTAGTTTTGCCGTTCCTCCCCAACTATGGTGTCAATATTCTCACGATAGATGTCAAGAATGTAGGTGGTAGTGACGCAGATATGCTATCAGGCAAAAGATATTGGCTTATTGTGCACCTAAATACAAGCTGCTCGAATTGCCTATGTTTACACAGCCATTGAAGTGAACGGTTATAAGTATCTGAAAAGTTCGTTTTCTGTGAGTGCTAGTGAAAGTGTGACTGATAAGATTCCTAACCGATAACTGAACGCAAAGTTGCACAGGTCGATTTAGGTTATCATCGGTGCTATCATGACGTGTAGAGGGTTGCGTATACTCTGTGTCTGTGCTGGTAGTTCTGTTCTACGCCTGAGAAGCCGTTCATCTTCAATCTACGAATGTCTGAGGACTGTGAGTGTTCGACCAGCATTGTCTCTGTATGATTTGTGGAATCCGGTGTTAGCACCATGTAAACGACCTTTTATGTCCATGTATCTGTGTTTGCTCGTGATGGAGATGGTGATTCACTGAGTGTAGACATCTTGAAACACTGGTTTCAGTGAGTTTGACGTGCACTGCGAATGTTATCCTGATGGTTCGCATGCCATTCACTACTTAATGGCTCTAGGTTTGGTTTGAATGAATGAATGAGTAGGTATTCAGTGTATGAGATGATGCTGTGGGATGAAGAGTTGTTGTATTGTATTCGTATCTACTAGTGAGATAGACGTGACTTTGTTGACGAGTTCCGAGGGATCATGTGACTCCGTAGACTCATATTTTCAGTTTGATAGGATTATCAATTATTTAAAACTGGTGTAACACAACTTAGGTTGCGTGGCAGTCAGTACTCGTCAGTAAGAATGTACGCCATCCTGGATTCTGGAGTCCCCTTTTCAACTGACACTGTGGGTATACGAGACACACAATTGTAGGAGTTGATTTTTTGTGTTGACAGTCTTTTCAATACAATGTTATTACGTTTTTTGCCAATCGTATCCCTTTCAACTTCTGCTTGCCAGGTAGCGCGAACAGATGTAAATCCTTTATATTTAATGCTAAGTGGATCTATTAGCTGGATTTTGTTGCTTCATTTTGTGCAGTATAGCCCTAATTTGTTCTCTGTGGTCTTTGATTGTATTTTGCACTGTTGATAGTTGTTTGTTGATGATGAGTTCATCATGTTTGAATAAGGTGTTCATTGGTTGTTGTATGGTTGTGTAACGGTGGTAGTAGTCTTGATGAATATGTCATGATGGTTGGTTTATTATGAAAAAGGGATATTGTGTATTTATTATATGCTGCTTTTTAAGAATCATTTTTGAGTTTCAGTCCAGTGGTCATTTAGGTTAATGTTGCCTTTGTAGAATGGATAGACGTGAGCTAAAGACAGCCTAGAATATTTTGCAGTTGTTTGTCACTTATTCAGGTAACCACATTATAGTTGATAAAAGTCATGGAGAAAGCATCTGTAATATAAGTATTGATGTGAAGATTCGTGAAGACGACATGGGGTCGAATGCAGGGAGTTGGGATAGCACGAAAGGATACAATTTGAAGTAGTTTTTTATTGTTTATAGTAATGCGAAGAATGTGTTTGCAACATAGCTACTGATTTCGAGCAGCAACACCTAACATCTCGGATTATCGATGTCACGTGTTTCTTTAATCTATTTTGAGGAGTGTGCACTTACGCAGATCGTTCCGTTCACGAAAATGTGTGGAACAGAGTTAGTTGTGTTTTACCGTGGTGTGGTTTCCTCTACTCTACTTCACTGACGAAACGGATTGGCTAGGTATGTCATTTGTATTCCAGTTTTGGAAGGTGAATAGATGCGCCTGTCTTATTCTGTAATTACTAAGTTGATGGTTGTGCTGAACACAACTAGTGCTTCAGAGTCCTAGGTAATCAAGTATCTGTGGTGTCGTATATCTAAGGTGTCTGTATGAAGTGAACTTTTGTTGTCTCTTGTTCTCATAAGTAACCTGTCTGAGGAGATAATTTTCTCTCCTTTGATGAAGCTGTTTTCCACGGAAGTTGATTTCCAGAAGTGTAATTGTTTACGTGGACTTATTTGTTCTGGGGTGTTTCGTTTTTTATTTGGAAGTACGCATTATGTTTTCAGTCAGTAAAAGTTTATTGAAATCGTCAGGTGTATAGATTTTTTGCCCTGTATATTTTCGTAATGTTGTTATCGAACTGAACCAGGTGAAGTGATTGTCAGGAAAGCAGTAGAAAGAAGTTATTTAGTGTTTTGATTGATATTGTTTTTTCCTGTGGAAGCTAGTAGTCATTATAGTAGTTTTTTATTTAAGTGCAATATTTTCGTTGTCCATTGAAAAACAACTTATTCAGTTGAGTAGTGTAGCCAATTCTCTTTTTTTGTGTTTTTATCATGATTGTTACTAATATTATCTGTTTACCGAATTAGATGGGTGATCAAGTGATTGAACTTTTTTAGTAGTATGCTGAGTGCTGTAATCATTAGAATGTTTAGATCAGTGAGTAGAAGAAATGCATTTTCGAATAAATACATTTTAGCTAATGTTGATTTTAAATGTTCACAATGAGCCAAGTGTATTCGGCGTTTTGATTGTGAAGAAGAGGAAATCATTTTTTATTCGCGTTGGTTATTAAACGACTAGAGAGAGGTTAAATGCTTGTCCATTGTATGAAGATTGTGTATGTTAATTGTACTTATGCTGACTGTTAACACTAGCGAAGTATTAAGGTTTGATTTGTTACTTTTGTTTTAATGCGTTCATAAATGCAGGTGTCCGAACTCACATATCTCATAATGATGGCATAATTTGTGAAAAACGGTAATTGAAGCACAACAGCACAAACTACCCAATTTTTTGAACTATTTGATTGATGTTCGTGGTGGAACGTGTACAAATAGTAGTAATTCAGGGAAAACGAAACACAGAGATTGGTATCATATTCAAACACTTCTTCATGAGCCTTATTGACGTATGCATTAAGAAGAACTATTGAAGAAGATTAGATAAGTTCAAGGCTTTAGGTATGTGCAGAAATTGAGTTTGATTCACCTGTTGTCAGTCTTGTTTAGTTTTTCAAACTACTCTGAAGTTGAAACTTGTATCATGGAGCTATAAAAGTCGGTAATAATTTTGAATTCTGTTTAAAGGTCTGACTGCCTACAAAAACGAAGTTCATCTATCGGTACTGCGTTTTATATACTATTTGTTGTGTCTGTAAATATCTACTCATGATATCACAGTTGTACTTATGATTTTTCCACCTCTTGATACCATTTTTTTCCAGTTACAATTCGACTCCTTCAAAACAAACGGTGAATTGGATCAACTACGGAGTAATGTAAATACCGTAACAGCTGTAATGCAAGAAAATACTCGACTTGCGCTTCAACGAGGTGATCGGCTGAATAATTTGGTTACAAAAACTGATGAACTTGCAGTCAGCGTAAGTTTTTTGTGAACTTCTGCCGCTAAAATTTGCTCATTTATCGTTTTGAATGTTGTTTTAAAGTTTAAAATCCATTTCTTTTGTTCGTTTGGTTACCGTCCAATCAGTCATAATTCTTAGTAAAGGAAATTTTCTTTATGAGTGTGCCTCATTATCGTTTGTATACTTGTTTGTGAACAATACTCGTTAGCTCATTGGAGTTAGGTAACTCACGTAGGTTTAAATGTATGATCTGGTGGTTGAAAATCAAGTGTCTTGATCACTACACTCGCATAGTGGGATACAGTGATAATCGTGAAGTATCTTTTGATGGAGGAATTTGTCTAGGCCTTAACAAACATCAACATTACAACCTTTTTAATTGTAAGAAGTTGAACAGGCAACGTTTGAACAATATTTGTGGAATGCATATTAGGGGAAGAGATAACTAACTGCAGAAGTCTAGAAACGTAGGTTTCCTTAAAAATAATTTTTTTACTATTACTGTTTCTCAACCTTTAACTACTGTTAGTCATTAAATTCACACGCCGATAACACGAAAATACTTACGGAAACGTGGAGTCTGGGACTGAATTTGTCATTCAGTGGTTGTATTCTGATGATTATAACTACTAAACCGAAAACCTACAATTGTACCGAGGTTACTGCTAAGGTTCTGTTTTGTTTTTCTTGACATATGCAATAATATTAGGAAAATGGAACTCGTCAAAAAGCAGATTGGGCCATAAAATGCTGCAATCATTTAGTGGACATCTGCTTGATGCCGGGGACACGGTCTTTTTAGTGTTCAGGATATATGTTCGATTGTGTTGTATCTATGCAAGAGGAAATCATGTCGCCGACAAACAGGAGTATTGTTTTTAAAACTGATCGTTTCGAACGACTCCTTCCAAAAAGGGAATATAGGATTAGCATAGAATGTTGGTTATCCGCAGGAAAAATCCTACTCAGTCGTTGCCAGCAGAAATACTTTTCCTTCAGAACTTGACCATAGTGTAAGTTATTTAAATCACAACAGAAACCGTGCTTATTCTTACTACCACCACTCTTCAAACCTTTTTGGCATGATTTAGACCTCACGGAACTATTATTCCAGTCTGCGGAGCTCGTTGGATAGTTATGGTTAGCAAATTCAAACACCACGTCAATGTAACAGCCCATAACCGAGAACGTTACATCAATGAACTTCATTTGCATTTAGTTTACCACCTATCACCATGTACACTGTGTGGTTTTTTCATATGATTAGTTAAGAACAAATTTTTAAATTTGAACATAAACTTTCGTCAAGTTGTTAAATTTGAGAATATAGAAGTTTCATTTTAAAACCAGGTGGTGGTCTGTCACCAACAATGGATCATCGTACCTTGCAAAACTCAAGGTCATTAGTTATAACTTCGTGCAACTTAAAATGTCAAGTATACAGTGCTTTATTCAGATAAAAGTGAATAAATTGTTTATGTCACAGACGATTCGCGTGTGCTTGCCAATCTGTAGATGAGAACTCTACCCCATTCTCTGTTTTAGATTTCACTTGTTCTTGGGCGTAAGGTATTTATGCGATGATCCCATCGTACACCACAAAGTTCAGCCATTTATGTGTGATTGTCACGTACGTATTGGAAAGTCTGTGACGAAGGGATAATCGAATTTAGTTTGAGAGCCTAAGGGATACTTGTAATTTTGTCTGCTTCGCTGATTGTTCTCTGTAGTTCAGTAATCGTGAGAGGTTGTCATTTTCTTGCAGGTACTTATTCTTATCCTTATTTTTCAAACTATGCCACTGAGTAGTATCTCAGGCACGTAGCATGTATTTTTTGTACATCTTGTTCGCTTACACATATGCGGAGTTGTTACTATGTTGTCTTCACCTCAGTTCGTATTAATTCAAGAGCTAGATGGATATGCAAAGTGGAAAGTATTTTAATAATATCTATTCTAAAAACTTATTTGTGGGTAATTAGATACTTAGTTGTCTGTACCCTGTATCAAGCAACTATGAAGTCTTATTCAAAAATCTGTTCCTCTTTGCTTTGCTTTGTAAAGTAAACATAGTTATCTCACGTAGCAGACTTTGTTGTCACCACAATAAATAGATTTGTACATGGTTATTGATTTACTGTTTTAATTTTTACAGGCTTATATTGTTTTTTTAGTATTCTATTGTGTTTATGTCTCTTGTTTCTGTGAACTACTACTTAAAAGTTCTCCATCATCTTCACCTAAGTGTGAAAAAGAAGCTGTGTAACAGTTTATGGCCTTTTTATATTGTAATCAATAAATGAAATTCGGAGATTATCATGAGATACTTGAAGTTTTTTCAGTTCTTTGGTAGTATCTTGATCTTGGTTGTGAAACCATTTGTTTGTTATATTTCTTCTACGTTGGTATCTTGCTTAGGTAAATGATCTACTCATAGGTTGTAATCACTGACGTTCTCACGATATCACTTCATTTTTCGTTAAGCGTTTAGGATGGCAGTGGCTAGTCTAACTGTTTTCTGTTTAAGAGGCGTAAATACATCAATACTTATTGCTTAAATATCAAATGTCAGCTGAATTACGGAAGTCAAAATTGTTTACAAAGCTTGTTTGTTTGTTTTATTGACTGTGGCAGTGCAGTTCGTTTGAATACATCTAACTGATGTGCAAATCTTGGTTCCATATATTTTTCTATTCTATTTAGTGAAAAACAATTGTTGGTTATATAAAACAATATTTACGGATAATAATTCCACTTGTTTATTGTTTCACTTTCAATCGCTCCTCCTATGTTAGTAATGTACTATGGCAACGCGTTTTATTTCCCTTCGCAACCGTTTTCTTTTCATTCTAGGGTCATATGTCAGGCTATTGTTAGAAATTTCGCATCCATCTGCCCCACTCATGTGGAAAACTTTTGCTTGGACTCCTAGCTTCTACTTGCTTTAGTTTTTTGGCTTGATGGTAGTAAGACACTGCTAGTTTCCAGCATATTAGTATCTATCTACGCTTCATGGAACCTGTCGTCTGTGTGATAATTTTTTCTGGTCAGAAAGTAAAAAATTTCGGGATGCGAGAACATTTTATGATGATAAAATTGGAACAATCATTATTATTTAAGCAAAATGTGAAACTTTGGCTCAGTGACTTAGGGGCTTTACTATCGAGTAATCACTAGTGGACTTAAACATCGCTTCTCTTGTTTTGGTGTGTGTATTTAAGCAACATCGTGAGCCTTTGTGCCATGTAGCTTATGATCTAGTACATAGACTGTTGCTTCCTAGTGCATGAAAACAACAACAACAAGAATGGTAAGGGTACGGAAAGATAAACGTCAAGCGAATAAAGCAATATATTCAAAATTTTACATGTTATGGGTATATGCGTCTTTATCATCAGTTATAAAGCATGTCATGGTGGGTCTTCAACCGTTGATTCCTAACATGGTAAGAACGTCAGTTACCTAACTTATAAATCTCTGCATTACTCCAACCAGCATGAAGCGAAATCGAAATGCACTCATCAGCCTTGTACACATTCGTGTAGTAGGCAATGAGACACAACTATTGCGTGAGGACTACCACCTGGCTGCCTAGACCTTGGTAGGTGGAGTGAGGCTTGAACTCGTGATGCATCGATTGAAAGTCATCTTCCCAAACCAATGAAGCACAGTTCCACTCAAACCAGCATACTGTTATATAATATCATTAAAACTGATTGTCACCAGGTTACTCAGTGATTTGCTGTTGCGGTGTTAATTTTAATAAGATGTTTGTGAAATATGTATGCTAAAGATTTAGGGAATTTTAATTATTTCATTAAACGGTTTTATTCGTTACACCGATTTTTTTTACAAAAAGAGCCTACTTTCTCTATATGATGTATTTGAATATTAAACCGGACGTACATCGTTCTCAAGCAAATTTTTTATGGGGTTTGCATATATACGACACTTTTCCTTTCACATGTATCAAGATCTCAACTTCCATAATTTGTACTATTTTAAACTTCTTTTGATCATTAATGGAGCGCTTCCCGACCGATAGCTGCTACCTTGACGTTTTGGTCGGGCTTGCATATCACAATGACCCAACGAGCTATGCTGGTGAAGCACTTATTACCTCGATGTTCTACCGTACCAGAAAGGTCTATTGGATAGTGGTTAGACGAAAAGCAGTCACCGTTGTGGTGTAAATTACTACACGATGATGGGGGTCTGTGGGGGAAGTCATACTGCTGCTAGCTGGATGGAGTGTGACAGCAGTAAGGTGTTTCCCTTGGATGACCTGACCAGCAGTGCCATGCTGATGCTGCCTTCTGAGTGGAAGGCGGGGTGGAGGGTGGCAGGTCAGAAAAGGTCTTCCCCAAAAATAACACACTCCACCATGCCCCACAGTCTGCCGGGCCGGTGGTGTTGGTTCATTTGTCGTTTCTTTTCAACCAGCCGGGCCCAAAATAACAAAAGTTTGAAATAACCATACACAAAAGGCCTGAGTGTGACAGGCCTCAAACAGATGTCCGATGGGCTTTGAGGTCACACAAATCTGTTTCAGGTGCTTTAAGAAGAAACAGCCTTTGACGGTTTGGGCAGTCGGGAAGCGTCAATCGTCCTCACAACTCTGTCAGCACTCAAGTTTCTTGAGACTGTTATCCACCTCCCCCCTCATTACCTTCTAATCTTCCTTCACGTCTCATAATTAACAATACTACATCATCCTCAATTTCTCTTGGTTCTGTAGCCTTTGACAAAGATCTGAATCCACAAGATGTCATCCATGGGCTCCTTGAACTATGCTCCAAATTACACATTGGGGCCTTCAATGTCCACACCCTCCATCAAATTGGTCAACAGGCTTCGTTGGCGAAGACTGTAGCAACTCGGGGTATGGATGTGTGCTGTGTTTGTGAGACACGCATACAGGACTCAAGTGTGGTTATTCACCTAACATCTCCCGAGCAATCTGGTGAATCCGCGAAATTCACCCTCCGAGTTTCTGGCGATTCGATGGCTAGCTC